AGGAGGCACAGCTGGGGGGGCAGGAACAGCGGGTGCGCATCTGCTGCCGGGACCCGTTCACCCGCCCCACCTGGAGCCCCTGGACCACCTGGCAGGAGCTCAAGGCCACCCAGCAGCACCAGCGCCAAGCCCACTGACCCTGTACATGGACACCCATCACCCCACCCTGCTGCACCCCTCATCTACAGCACCCCAGGAGGTGGTGGCAGCCACCAGCACCCCACACCACCATTCCTGGTCTTGTGTGTGGCTTGGAAGAGGCTTTTTCCCTCCATTAAAGATGGCCCTTTACTACCACAAATCTCTGTTAGTCCCAGTGGGGAGTGGAAGGGTGGTTGGATCCCCTGCAGCCTCCACGAGTTCCTGCTTAAGGTGCCCCAATTGACCCCATCCCCACTGGGGTGTCACAGGCTTGTGCAAGGCCCCCCCTGCCCCACAGCCTGCTGAGGGACCCCCACTTTCTCAGCAGAGCTGAGCTCAGTCCATGAAGCCCTTACATATGGCTGAAAACACACATGTAACACACATGTGCATGTGTGCCAGCCCAGGCAGGGTCAGCAGCCAGACCCAGGCCTGGCTGGGTGGGGGGTCCCCAGAGTCCTGCCCAGCTGTCTGCTAGGGCACACGGGCACCCTGGACCCCTCATTCCTCATCACCCCCTCAGATCTGCTTTCCTTCAGGAGGCTGTGGTGGAGTAGTCTCTCCCCCTCCCCCAGGAGCAGCACCCCAGCACACCAAGGGGACACCCCCTGTCTCTGCCCAACCCCAGCCACAGTGAGGGGGGTCAGGGACCACCAGCACTGAGGAGGCTCAGCTCACACTGGGGAATAATCCCCTCCACCACATGTCCATGACTGGGCCCCCAGGATATACCCCACTTGACATCCCTGTGGGGCGTCCACCACAGAGGGCAAGAGAGGGCTGAGACCAGGCAGCCCCCGTGGGACACAGCCCCGGATCCCAGACTTCCACAGAGACCCCGGCACAGGCACCACCCGAGAGCTGCTGCCCACCCCCACAGACAGGTTCCAGGTGATGCCACGGGGCTTTATTGAGGTGCTTCTGTGCGGGCCGGGGCCGGGCCCCCAGCCCGGCTGCTCCTCCAGAGCGGCTGGTGAGAGTGTGGGGCCCCGCGGGCTCTGCCCTCCTGGGGTGCTGGAGCCTCCCGGGATGGGGGTCTGGGGAGCCCGGCTAGGTGGGGGTCCCAGGAGTCCGGGGTGGGGGGTTAGAAGGTCCGGGGCTCCGGGAGTCCACGGGGATCCAGAGGTTCCAGGGGTCCCACGGGCCGTGGGACGTCCGGGCCGGACGTTCGGGGCTG